GTAGGAGTACAGGCGCCATGGTGGGAAGACTTATGGGGGTACAGGGCCAGACTCCGCCAGCAGGAGGCACGGTTTGAGCGGAAACTCACAAATCTGATAAAGGTCTATAATGAAAATCAGCTCATGTGGCTCCGTTTCTCATGGCTAGAGCCCCTAGCGCACGTGATAGCGTGCATAGCCGCCTGGTTTGGGGCATAAGACCACTAGGTATTAGGTAGGTATTACATGGTCCATGAACTGCAGTCTCCCCAATTGAAGGAGTCAGCAACTGAAAAAGGGCGAGCGGCTTGTTGAGCATTTTAGGTGACGATATAGGCTTTTGCCAAGGTACATTGAATATTGCAATCCTTGGACCATGTGTGGAAATGTGCTCCACTTAGAGAAACCCACTCTCTCCCAAACACAGGTTTCTCAGTAGTTATTATCATACTGAGTAACTTTACGTGATAAGAAAGTTTCGGAGTAACTAAACATCTTCAAATTTTTCTTACCCTCCTGATGATCACCGCGATTGAGTATTCCTTCGTTAAAGGCACTGTTCACGATAATTCAATGGGCGGGTGCGTCGATGACGTGTCCGCCTCTCATTCGACGCCACGTCAGACTGACTGACGGCTGCACTGATGCACAAGCTGTACTTCACAAATGATACTGTCGTACAGAAGGCTTCACTACTCATTTGTTCTCATTCGGGATTGGAAACAAATACCATATAAAGAACTGGACGTTTTTGAACCTTAGCATCCATGTTTAGACTAAAATTGGTGGAATTGAACTATTGTCTCAAAGCTCATGTTTCCTTCCAACTTCGTTTTGGCTCGACGGGGTTCAGAGTTCATAAAAAATCCGATTTCAGTACTGTTAAAATGAGAATAAGCTTGTGAAGGGTTGTTGATAGCTATGAAATCCTGGCAGCAGGGAATCCATTACTTATCCTGCCAGCTACATACTTTATAATTCCATTCTACTATGATCTTATTAACATTCAGGATATCAAGGGATATCTAAAAAAACAGCTGATGAGCCCTGGTCCGACTCAATGAACCTCGGTATCTTCTATTCGTTCGGCTCACGTTTCAGCGCTTTCTCCTTCTTTGGAGCTTGGCTAGATTACGCCCTTTAAACTTCTTCTGAAATGAAGCTGGACCGAATGGCTTCTCGAATGGTTTTCCAGGCTTCGAAGGAGGTGAAATCACTGAAACCTGAGCAGAAAAAAAAGGTGTTTAAGTCTCGGTTACACAGCTCAGAAGCTTAATTCACCAGCTAGTGACTCGTACTTCCATAGTGGAGCATGGGTTAAATCCTTGCTTATCACTGTGATGAGAGTTTTGATGTGCTAGCATGATGCAGCACGTGATATCACATCATGGGTGAGCAATAACTATTAAAACAGTAAAGTTCAGTACAAGTAAACAGACGAAAATAGTTTATTCAATGAATTCGATGCGTTTAGAAGCCTTTGTACACTACACGTAATTCATGACATTTCAAAACCCTTTAAACATTAAAAACAATCTTCAATCAGGTTACTACTGTGAGACTACTACATTGTAAACTTTGTAAGCCTCAACTTCTAAACTACCTCTTTCCAAGTAATTGTCAACAACTAACAGGACCCATAGACCGAGAAGGGCTAAAATTAATGATTGGTTGATCGAAAACCAATCGGTTTGATGCAGTTCTTTTCTAGAAAAGATATAATCTATTCCTGTCTTATTCAGTGCCTATGAGGTCGATGCCTTTTATGCCGGCAATCACGTTCTTCATTACCAAAATTAATTTCCATATTTATCGATCCAATATCCATCCATTCGGTAATCGTTCCATTGTTGATGTATTTAGCCGGAAGCATCCAGTATACACGCCGCTTGCATGCCTTAAACTGATAACAAACGACAAAAAACAAATAAAGGCAAAAACATCAAGTCAAAGCAAGTTCCAAATAAGAATTTCGTGACGGAAATGAGTTCATGGAGAAGCAAAAGTACGAGCTGTAAATTAGCAACTTGTTTATTGTCATGGAAAGGTAGAGCTCATGTATAATGTGGAAAAGCTCACATGACAGCTGCGACAGCAGCACCTAACACTTAGTGAAGGTCAGGGACCTTTTACATTTTTGTCATTTGGTCTCAAAAACGTAATGGTAAAGGAGCAAGACGGGCAAAGCGGATGATTGCTTTCGGTTAAGTTAATTTTAGAATCGCTTGACTTATAAAAGTGGAGGTGTTCGTGAAGGATAGTGTAGCGAAGAAGGAACAAAATCCGCCACTCACCCGAAAAATGAGGTTTTTCAAAGTACTAGAGATAGAGGTGTATCAAACTACTGTGATAGAGGTGTATCAAACTACTATGACGGGAACGAAATGAAAGGGGTATTCGGACGAGATTTCAGATGGTACAATGGCGTTAAGAGCTGACTACGTTAAATCCGAAAATCCAAACTGCCTTCCGCTGTCGCAGTGAGCCATGGCTAGTTGTTTAAATCCCCAACATGGGTGTCCCTTGTGAATGGTGCAGCTCTAACGTTGAAACTCGTTCACTTTTGGGCCTAGGCCCGTACAATCTTCGAGGCACTATAGCACCACAACCAACATCACAGATTCTTCCTGGATGATACATCAAGAACCATTTTGATTAAGAATTGTGTCCTTGAGTATACAGACCACGAGATAAGCGATGGGTGAAGAGAAAAGTTCGAAATGGAAGTCAAAGTCAAAAACGACCCAAATGCATGTAAATGGCCTGAGATATTATTGCCTTCCTGCAGTTCGGATGAGGATGGACAGGGGTTTGACGAAACGAACCCCATTGAAGTTCGAATTGTTATCCCATTTCAGCTTTATTCATATTGCGAAATTGTCATTGCTTCAGTTGTGTATTCTGACTTGAGAAATTTGCTACAGCAAAAATGTGCTGATATAGCGATAGATTTTAGTGCTCTTTCTGCAAGCTGTTTTCAATAAAGCGAAGTCTCAACTCTTGTAATGAGAGAAATCGCCTCAAGAAGTGAATTAGGGAAAAAGCCGAAGAATCAAGAGAAAGTGGATAGAAAAGGCTTTTTCTATATACCTTAAACTTGTGACCACAATCGTGATAAATTTTGAGTGCTGGTTCTATTCGTGTCTCTTCATACGTCCCGCCTTTCAGGTAAAATTCACCGTCATCGCCCGTCCTTGCTTCATCCAATAGGTCGTCCTTATCTCCATCTACAAAGATAACAAATGGAAAAGTTCAGTTCTTAAAAACGCTATCTACGGCTACAGCTACTATTGCTGATGGCAACTATGAATGCTCAGAAGCTAATGTCGTAAAATGAACTCTGGATGGGAGAAACTACTGTTTAGAGATATGGCAGCTGGTCTAATGGCTCAGGCTAGACATTCGAGTGGAACCTTTAGGAAGTTTTGCGCTTCTACTCCTTCTGAGCTTTTCTATGCACGTCTAAGACATCATTTCCAAGCTGTGAGCCAGGAAGCGGCAACCGCGCGCGGAACTAGGTCACGGCGACAAGGCATCTGCACTCAGAGAATTGCATCATGAACAGAGGCAGTAGCTTTGCTTGGTCAAGTGCATTCGATTTTTATCAACAGGAATCATAAGCAAAGGTATTTTCAGTAAAATTACCGTGATCTTGATCAACAATCTTTAGAATGGCTCCACTCAGTGGTTTGTCCCCACACATGAGTCGGCCTTTGACAGCCACAGCTTGCAACTCTGTGATAGGCACCTGAGGTAGTTCTGCATTGCTCTGCACGGCTATCCACGAGATAAATGCGAACAGTATGAGTACAGACATCCTGAACCTACAAAATTTATTATAATAGGAGCAAATTAATAAAATACTGAGTGAGGATTATACACTGTCAAGAGGCGCACGTAATGTGTTTCCAGGAGTTCTCGTTTAGGGTCTGGCAAATGGAAAAGGTTTATTATGTACACCACATTCTGATGATTACAGTACTCCAGATTTTTCCCGAGATTTTCTGTTAGTCTATATAGTTATACTGTAATGGGACAGCATTATGAGCCTAGCACTTAATCATAACTCATGATATCTTATTCCGCTGACCAAGTCAAAGTTCATTCTCGACTGTTTTCGTTTGACATGTGAAGCGTTGGAACAGGAGGAACACAGGACCGCTCGGGAGCGGCATCGATACAATCTTGTTAGCTCTATAGGCTTTGACGGTAGCCGGGTTCGAATTCATAAAAAAGTAGGCGGTGAAAAGAGCTTGATGTTCGTTATTTTATGGTCAAATAAGTAAGGAAGAGGTAGAGAGGCATGCTATGCATCACGGATAGTCTCCTCACGTAGCAATCCCATGAAGGCTTCCTGAACCCGGGAATGAATGGGGGCCACGGTGGGATTTTCGTCAGATACTTTCCGCACAACTTAATACTGAGAAGTAAACCTTCCTTGAACCAGCCCATTGAAGGTGCGTAACTTATTTCTTATTATTAAAATGGTCTACCGAAATATGCAGAAGTAAGGCGCAAACTATTGTTAACTTCAAGAAACTGATCTTTACAGCCACTCTGAGTTGCAAAAAAAAGTGCAAGAAAAAAAAAACATTGAAATAGATAAGGCCAGCATCGAGATGGGTTACTGTAATCAGATTACAAGTTGCCAAGAAGTGACTGTCAGCGGGGTATATTACTTGGCTACTTTGAAGAGTACAACCAGTGTGGGAAGAATAGAACAATATGATAACCAAACCCTTCTGGGATAATCGTGAGAAATGGACAACAGTTGGACTGGGCACGTAGGGTTAAGTACCCATAAACCACAGTGAATATCTGATAAGGGTACTCGATGTAGGAAGCGTCACTTGTCAAAGACATTTCGGCCAGAATACATGGTGAAGTACTTAACTGTCAACAGTTGACCAACCTCAGTAGTGAGAGGTATATTTGGATATTTTAGCTTGATTACTTTACAAAAAGTCTGAAAAGCAAAAATTTGTTACATTAACCGTGCAGGGAGCACTTTCATTGGCTGTTTTTGTTCAAATGTGAAGGATATTGATTTTGGTAGTTTTTCAGATCAACCGAGTTTAAGCCACCATCTTGCGAGATAGGTGGAGGTAGCGTTATGGCAAAAGGCTTACCATCTCACAAGCATGGTCACGAGTTCGATCCCGGATCGATATTCGCTCAGGCCAACCGAGCCCTCCATCCCTCCGGGGTCGGTTAATTGGTGCCAGAACCGTCTGGGAGGATTAAAGCACTGACTTGTACATCGGTAGGCCAGGTATATCGGTGCGTGTGTGGCCTATACAAAGTCATGGTATAGGCCACACACGCATTCAACACGCCACTACGATTCTGAATTGAAGTCGAATGCATGGCCCATTCCTCAGACGGTAATGATTGACGCTTAAAAACTCTATTCTTTATCCTTTGAACTCGCGAGATTTGGAAATGCGGAATTTACTTATCATTCAGAGACAGCGATCAATGTTACTGTACAACTCTCTAATCATGAAACTCCTTTTTTGTAACAAATATGAGTTGTTCCTTGGATTACACTCGAAAATCTATGAAAAACACCTAATTATGACAAGTCATATCCTCTCACTACTTGTTACAATTTAAAGTAATCTGGAAGTTTGGCGCTCTGCACGTTTATGGATATGTACTTTGTCTCACCGTTCCTTATCGTCATGCCCTTCCTTTGATGGGACACCTTTGCCCGAGCAAATGAGGCGATTTCTTCATGTACTAACTATACTGAAAGAGTCCGTGGCTAACGAAATGCCAAGGATGCGACCAAAGGTATTTCTGAATAGGTGTGGTTTGGAGGCCCTAAAAATAATCCAGTGCCAATGATGGTCTTTGAACCATACTGGTGCGCGGCATTATGCTACTCAATGATAATTTGTAGTAGCGATAACTCGGAAAGAAGATATAGTCTCGGATTTCTGAAGAGTTTTCGTAATAGTGTTAGTCGTCGTAATGCTATGGTCATAATACTTGTGAAAATATCATTCAAAGTACACACTATGCACGAATGTGCACGTGTGTGTGCACGTGCATAAATCACCCACATACTTTTTCCCACATCACACGTGCACAAGGGATGCGGTTGATTGGACAGGAACAACGTCTGTTTCCCCAGGACTTTCCGGTCGTTGACCTGTTCAATTTTTTGTTGGCCATTTTTGGATAGGATTGAAAATGTGGTGATCATCGAGAAGTGGCTCTTCAGTTTTATTTATTAATTTCTCTGACACATCTTAAATAAAACCACTAACACTGTCATCAGTAACCAGTAATGCTGTGCTGATGCAAATGCGAACTTGCAAATGATACATCACGTTTTTGCTTTTGTCAAATAGCTATTACACCGTCAACCAGATTTGTGACAGGCTGCCCGGCCGATAAAATTGGAAAATCACTGTGTGAACGGAGTTCGTTCAGTTGCAATAATTGTTCACGTCGGAGTTTACTACTCTACTATTGTGGCCAATAGGCAAATGAAAGTCAGTTTACCTATAGAAAGTAAAATCTGTTTTATACAGAGGCATCCACCCCTTAATTACTACTTTTGATGCCAAAGGGAGTCCCACTGTTGTAGTGTGCTCTATCTTTTACAAATGAAATCCACCTTCAACTAGGGAAACCGAACGAGTCAATTCGTAGGATTTTTTGATCGAGGCTGCCCTTCTATTTTCCCTCATCTTGTGACTCTTCCAGTTGGAACTGCTTGGTGAGGGGGACGTGCGATTCGTGCGATTCCGGGTGCGCGCGGCACATTGTGCGGCGAAATTCGTGATGATTCAGACGACTCCTGCGCCTATTATTGGGGCACAAACTTGAAGTAGAGTACTTTAGTAGGCTCGAGAAATCTTACTAACCTACTTAACTTCAAATTTGGGGCCTAATGATAAACGCTGCAGTCGTTCAAATCGCACCGAATTTCGCCGCGCAATTTGCCGCACGCGCCCAGAATCGCACGAATCGCACCACANCCGGGTGCGCGCGGCACAATGTGCGGCGAAATTCGTGATGATTCAGACGACTCCTGCGCCTATTATTGGGGCACAAACTTGAAGTAGAGTACTTTAGTAGGCTCGAGAAATCTTACTAACCTACTTAACTTCAAATTAGGGGCCTAATGATAAACGCTGCAGTCGTTCAAATCGCACCGAATTTCGCCGCGCAATTTGCCGCACGCGCCCAGAATCGCACGAATCGCACCACACCCGCATGGTGAGCCTCTCAGTGCTTAGGGATTCCTAGTTAGTTGTCTCGATTTACAAAATGTCTCAGGTGGTTGCCGTTATTAGGTATTTCTCCTGTCGTCATGCCGTTTTATGCTTTCAATCTCTTACAATCGTCTAACTGGCCCTCTGGCACACTTGCAAAGATCATGGTTAACACAAAATTATCCTGATTCCGTTTTTTCCGTCACGTCATTTCCTACGACACATTCACGTGTCATTGAGCACGAAGACGCCTTCCAATTCAGTTTTTGATCGGTTAGGCTTGGATCGCTCGATGTTCTTAGGTTGTCCTGCTACATATCACTCTTGCAGCTTGCTATTCTTTCAAGGGGACGTCAGGGATGAGGGAAAGGAAGGGTGTTTATGTTAGCATCGATCGATCGAGATTTTCAGAATGCGCTTACGTGTTCGACTCCTGTCTGAAACTGTAATGTGAAATGTGAATGTGAATGTGTTCTGCCATATTTAGTGATTTGCAGATCGGTGTACAAGTCAGTGTTTTATCCTTTCAGGGATGATTAAGGATAAGTCTTTGGGTATTAATCAGTCCTGATGGGTGCGCCCCCACGTTCGAGTTCCATTCAAAATCATAGTGACGTAATGAGTGCGTATATGGCTATACAATGACTTTCAGTGGCCAGCCAGTGTACAAACTAGTGCTTTTGTCTTCCCAGACGAGCCATTACTATTTAGCCCACCCCGAAGGAATGGAAGGCTTTGTTGGCTTAGGCGATGTTGATCCGGGACTCGAACCCGTGACCATATGTGTGAGATAGTGTGCCCTTTGCCACTACACCATCTCGGCTAATCGTTCAGGAGAACGTCCGTTGCGCGCGTCCGCCGAAAGTAGGTCACCCCGCACACTCCGCGTGCGGCGCACCTTAAGTGAGATTTTGACATGACATTACAGTACCACTAAGTATCAGTGGAGCGAATGATTTGCATTTGTCCGTGTCATCTTCACTTTGGCTGACTGNTGTGGACCAAGCGCAAATCATATGCCCCACAGACAACTGCGACGTTTGTCAAAGATTGCAGGCTGACGCGTCGCATGCGACGGCTGCGGTGTGACCTAGTTTCGACGGATGCGCGCAACGAAGCGCACCCAATCGTCCATGATTGGACCTGTAAAAATGGTGAAAATCATAGCCTGGGACAATTTCCGCATAAATGTCGTCTCAAGATTCGATCTCGAACCGCCCTGGCAGTATCTCCGCTTAGCAACCCCCTCTTCCACCCATCTCCATGAGTATCTAATAAAACCAGAAAGCATTAAAAGCTCAAAAATATAATCTGATTCCGTCGGATGTAGTTATATTCATATCTATGGTGGAAATTCAATCTGATGCAGTGTCTTTTACTAATGATTCAGCAAGCTGTGTCAATATTTCCATGGCAAATTACTCTTAATTACTGCAATCAACAAAATACTGAAAAGCAGGACGTACGTAGGGAATTATTGAAATCATTAGGTGTATGCATAATTCTTTCCATGCGAATTAGTCATAGTCAGATGTTAATATGTAAATCCGATTAGTAAAGCGACTTGTATGCTTACTAAGTTGTGCAG